ATACAACGTATGCATGTGTATATACCATGTGTGCATGTATTTGTTTAAAAAGGAAACAACCATGAACATACCACCTACCATCACAACTGTAACATTGCCAGTACCACTGATGCTACTTGAGTATTCCTCCCCAGGTCTCATCCTCATCTCTCCATAGCCACATCCATAATTTTGTTGATTGTTCTCTTGCTTTTAAAATACAGGTTTTTTTAAAAAAATCATATATGTAACTCTAAACAACGTACTATTTAGTTTTGCTTTTGACTCGTGTAAAAATACTCATGTAATGTTCTGTGGTCGCTTTTGATATTCCATATTACATTTCTAAAGTTCATTTACATTGTCATATGAAGCTATCGCTTGTTAATTTTCAGTGCTTTTTAATAAATCATAAATAGGCCACAGTTCACTTATTTGGATATTTTTAGGTTTTTATTATTATAAATGATGCTACCATGAATATTCTTGTACATGTCTCCTGATACATGTACATGCAAGAGTTTATCTAGGCCCTAAAATCAAGCTGTATACATCCAGAAATAGAATTGCTATATTTTATGTTCAACTTTACAAGATTGTTGTAAACAACTTTGCAAAATTATTTTCTGAAGTGGTTTGCATCAATTTAATCTTACTAGCAATGTACAAGTATTCCCTTTGTTACATAGCATTGATGCCACTTGATATTGTTAGACCTTTTAGTATTTGATAATCTAGTCAGTGTAAAATAGTGTTTCATTATAATCTGAATTTAGATTTCCCTGAATTTTAATGAGGCAAAACAACTCTTACAAGGCTATTTACAATTTGTGGTCTCTCTGTGAATTGCACATACATGTCCTTTGTTCATTTTTTTTTTTTTTTGGCCTTTTTCTTACTAATTTAAGGGTAGTCTTTATATATACTTATATATACTTGTTATATACAGGTTGAGTATTCTTTATCTGAAATGCTTGGGACTAGAAGTGTTTCAGATTTTGTTTTTCAGACTTTTTGGAATATTTGCATATACATGAGATGTCTTGAGGTTGGGACCCAAGCCCAAACAGTAAATTCATTTATGTTTCATATACACCTTATAAACATAGCCTGAGGTAATTTCATGCAAAATTTTTAATAATTTTGTGCATGAAACAAAATTTGTTTACATTGAACCCATGTGGACAATCTGGGTTGTTCAGCATCACCATCATTCCTCTCAATTTATATGGTACCGATAAGCAATCATTTTCTTACACTTACTCATATATAAATACTTAACAGTAAAAAGTATGACATATTATTAATACTTACCCTGTGATCAGGGTAAGTAAGCAGCACGGTAGCATCACCGGAATACCCGTACCAGCTGTTAAACAGCAGCAACAGACGATGGCAGGCTTTCAGTCTCCACCTACAATGCTGTATTTTTATTAAAAGGCTACTACACCTAGTATTTTTTTTAGGTGAGAAGAAACATAAGAAGCAGTTGAGGGACCAGGAAGTGGGCCCTCTAGGGATTAAGGAGGCATTCAGTGGGATGGCTTTTTAAAATGTTTCCTCCGGAGTCAGCTGTCTTATTAACAATGGTTTTTGCCTTGTAAGCATCTCTTTGATTTTACAAACTGACATGATTTCCTGTTCTGTTGTAAATGCATGTTGCTCTACTCCTGCATCACACATTTTCATGCTGTCCTCTACAGACACGTTTTCCGCAGTGCTAACAATGGCATCTTTATCGTCACCATTATGATAATCACCCTGATTCAGAATCATTTCGGCTATTTCACAATTTTCAATGAATGAGCAACTGGAGCCTCATCATGGATGTCAAAAACTTCTTCAACATCCACTTCTTCCAATTTACTGATGGACTCGAAAGGTGTATTTTTTGCATACTCGGTGGTCATGTGAACACCATACTCTTTTGTAAGACATCCCACACGTACATTGCTGTTCAGTAAAAAAACTCTCCAATTCCACACTATAGATAAACATAAATGCTTCCTCTTTTTCTTATACTAATACAGCTATCTGCAGGCCTTTTTGACATTTTCAACAATATGTTTATACCACCGAGCAGAAAGTATGCAAAAAAAAAAAAAAAAAACCCCAAAGACAAAAACCCAGTAATGCATCTAGGCATTGACCCTACGTGGGGCACTGTCGAGAGCCTGGCTTTGGTGCATCCAGCCTGCACATGCCACTTTACCACCCTTTGTGGGCATGTTTGTGTAGGGGAATGCGGGGATGCACGGAAAAGATACATTTTAGTTGAAGGGGGCTGGGAAGGTCTTTTTTTCCCTAGGGGATGCCGAATAAACTGCATCATGCACCTGGGTTTTAACTGCAACCTGCCACATGAGATTAGGTGTGGGATTTTCCACTTGTGGTGTCATGTTGGTGCTCAAAATGTTTCAGATTTTGGAGCATTTTGGATTTTGGACTTTTAGATTAGGGATGCTCAACCTGTATATAAATACATCAACACATAAAGTGTGTACACAAACACACACACTTTATACATTATATTTGTATTTAGCATCATAAGGCCTCGTCTGAATACAAGGACCTTGGGGACACTTTACTTTTGATTACCCTTCCTATTTTACTTGCTAATGTTCTTCAATGTTTAATCTTGTAACTGACTATATTAGACATCATTTACCAATAAGTTGTGTCACCTTTAAAAACAACAAAGCCTCATTAAATTTGGAATGAAATCTTTTCTAAAATTCTGATACCAACTATATTTTATAAATACACAGACTAAACTTAACTGGCAAATCAAATGGTGAGGCTTAAAATTAAGGTTAGTCAATTAAATGCGTTAACAGCTTTTGCAAAACTACAGGCCTTCACATAAAAGGAACAGAGAGGAGCACAATCCTCACAATCTTCGTTTTAGGGTTTCTGCAGTAACTATCCAGTTTACTTTCTCTAATCCAATCTCCATGCTACAGCCTAAGTGATTTTTCGAAAGCACACTCTAATATAATGCATTTCCAAACTGTTAACCACACAACAAATTCCCAATTCCTTGGCATGATTTAAAGATCTTTCAAGATCAGGCCCCTCTCTTGCTATTTGGCTTTATTCAAACTACACATTACACTACTTCCAGGTATATGTTATATTGCTATGCTATCCTGTCACACTTTGTGCCTTTATAAATGATGCTAACTAGTACTCATCCTTTAAGACTTCAATGTCACTGAGAATATTCCTGGACACCGGCAGGTAGTAAGTTATTTCTCCCCTCCCTGCCACTAATGTGTGCTCTCAGCACTTGGTAATAGAAGTATTCGTGTAAGTGCTTGGTTCAGATTTACCACTTGCTTATTGTGTGTGACCTACACATGTTGGCTTCTTTGTCTAGTGTATTAGGTTACTGGTACTTATCTCACGGGGTTGTGAAACAGATATATAAAACTAGTCCTCAGGAATTAGTGCCCAGGTTCCAAAAATGTTCTCTTCACTTTTATATGAAATTTTCAGTTCTCAATATGTGCAAGACGTCAGGGATACATTAAAGGTGAACAGGACATAGTTCCTCTGCTCAAGGGGCTCACAGAAGCAGAAATATATCTCATACTAGCAACACACTATATAAAGATTACTCATTCAATAACAATTTTCTGAATGAATGGTCAACATATGTAAAAGATACAATATAATTTTAGAAAGTTTTATGAGTATAGACTTAAAAAGAACAAATGACAACCTCCAGCAACTGGTATCAGATTAATTACAGGTTACATTCTGTGTTCAAAGATAATTAAAGACATAAATCAGTCTGTTCAAGTGTTGCTTATGACTTTTGCATAAGATATTATTTAAAGGAATGAGCAGTCAGTAGTATAAATTGAGTTTCAACTAAATTTGGACAAAAATGTTCAATATATTAACTTTAGCATATACAAAAAATTAAAATGCCTATCCAAGAATATAGTAAAACACTTCTAAAATAGTTGTCATATTCATAAAGTTTATTTAAAAAATTGTTAAAAACCATACAGGAATATTTATTAATAATATACTTAAAAAGTCTGTTCCCTATTTTGAAGGAAAATACATTAGCAACATCTTCCAGACACCATCTTTATAAAAGTAAAACTTCTAGATGCTGAAATGTACTACAGTAGATTCTATAGTTTACGCTTTTAATCACAGGATTGGAATTCATTTTCCCTACTCTCCTAACCCCCAAGTGTGGCAGTTATTATTCTTACGTTAATGACATTTGATGTTATACTACCACAGATCCTTAAATAGAGTACACACTGCATGTTTACTAACAGAGCGAGTCTTCTCTATTTATTATCACATAATTATTTCGGATAAGCATTTGACTTTAAGTACAAATAGAAATACTACATCCCAAGATTGTAAACATTCACCAAGAGCTTCCAGAGTAGAATGAGTAATAGCGGTGGCCCCAGAGTCGGTCAAGTGTTCCTCACGCATTTGGATACTGCTGAGATTAGGAAAAATGTTTTGAAGGCAAATTATCATAAGCCTTACTTGTATTTCTGTAAGAAAGTAGTTCTGGATATATATTTTTAGTCAAAAACACCTGAAAGTCATTCTAAAGACTATATTAAGCACCATTTTCACTTGCCTGAAATACATTGAGTTAAATTCAGCAGTATGCATGGTTGTTAATATCAGAGATTAAAAATAACTGTGGGTCTCGAGCTCCCTTTTGTAGATACATATGGAGTACCGCCAGTAGGCAGCACTCACGCATACCAAGGGTAGTAACTCCCCCAGGGCCACATGCAACCCCCAAGTCTGAGGCACAACTATTACTTCTGTCAATGGATGCTATACGAGCAGATTTAAGGCTGTATTTGGCTATAAAGAGTTCAATTTCCTCTTTGTAGGGACCGACTCTGGGCTTAAGCCAATTTTGCCCAGGGACGGTCCTCCCTACACTCTTTAATATTCTTTCTACAAAGATCACCATACACGATTCAAAATTTTGTAGGATAGGAGACGAAAAGTCCCCAAACGCTTTCAAATACTATTCTCCATACAATTTATTGTCAGCATATTTACACGGGGGAGTGTTCAGACTTAAAACCATTTAAAAAATGCAACCATGATTTTCAAACTCTTGTCACAATGTCCCCAGGATTATCCTTACTCTCATCTTCTGACTTTTGGCCAACTGCACATTTGTCAGATTGTTCCCTGGAGTCCTTAGGCAATTCTGATGTTGCTCTGAAGGAGAATAAAGGTTAAAATAGATTCACTGCCACCCGCTTTGGGACAGGCCTGGTTGCAAAGAAAATGGTGTTCCTGGTGCTGAAGGATAACTAGGAAACCCATCGGGCTGAGCTGGATAGCTTTCCAGGGCTGAAGCTGAATGGACCTGATAGAGAAAAGAACAGGTAGGTTAGCAGAGTGCCAAGTTCGATCAAGTCTGCATTTGCTCTTGCCTATGCCACACTCTACATATTCAGAACAGGAAAGAAAGAAAAAACTTTGGGGATAGATAAAGTCTGCTCCATCTCCTAAAAATTTTAAGAAACATTCAAACTTCCTCAGGTGAAGGAGATGCACAGAAATGTCATTAAAATATTTAATATTTTTTCAAAGAAAAGTAGGTTTTCTGGAGATAATTTGCTTTAATGGTCTATTATTTTAGATAGCTTATAGAAGACAAGTTTCTAAAGGTTGGTGCAAAAGTAATTGCGGTTTCCAACTGAATTTAAATCATTATAACTAGGCTCAGACACATCTTTATTAATCAAAATAGGAACCATTACAATCGACACATTTCTACCAATGAGAAATAAGTTTGTTTATTCCTGTAGTGTAAAAATTTATGTTTCGGGATTCGAGGAACTCTTGCAAGGCATTTTCGGCATCCTGTTGGTTGTGGAAGCATTTTCCCTGCAAAAAGCTGTCAAGATGCTTGAAGAAGTGGTAGTTGGTTGGCAAGAGGTCAGGATAACATGGCGGATGAGGCAAAACTTCATAGCTCAATTTGTTCAACTTTTGAAGCACAGGTTGTGTGCACATGTGGTCGGGTGTTGCTGTGGAGAAGAATTGGGCCCTTTCTGTTGACCAATGCCGGCTGCAAGCGTTGCAGTTTTCGGTGTATCTCATCAATCTGTTGAACACACTTCTCAGATGTAATGGTTTTGCCAGGATTCAGAAAGCTGTAGTGGATCAGACCAGCAGCAGACCACCAAACAGTGACCATGACCTCTTTTTTTGGTCCAAGTTTGGCTTTGGGACGTGCTTTGGAGCTTCTCAGTCTAACCACTGAGCTGGTCGTCGCCGGATGTCATATGAAATCCACTTTTCATCGCACGTCACAATCCGATCAAGAAATGGTTCATTGTTGTTGCGTACAATAACAGAAGGTGACACTTCAAAATGACGATTTTTTTGATTTTCGGTCAGCTCATGAGGCACCAACTTATCGAGCTTTTTCACCTTTCCAATTTGTTTCAAATGCCAAGCAACCATAGAATGGTCAACGTTGAGTTTTTCAGCAACTTCTCGTATGGTTGTAAGAGGATCACCTTCGATGATTGTTCTCAGTTGGTCGTTGTCAACTTCCAATGGCCAGCCACTGTGCTCCTCATCTTCAAGGCTCTTGTCTCCTTTGCAAAACTTCTTGAACCACCACTGCACTGTACGTTCCTTAGTGGTTCCTGGGCCAAATGTGTTGTTGATGTTGTGAGTTGCCTCCACTGCTTTACGGCCCATTTTGAACTCGAATAAGAAAATCACTTGAATTTGCTTTTTGTCTAAAATCATTTCCATAGTCTAAAATAAATATAAAATAAACAGCAAGTAATAAGTCATCAGCAAAAAAACATAAAGTGAGAAATGTGCATTAAAATGATGGCATAACATGACATTTATTTAAGAATGTATTCCAATATTAAACAGCAAATTTCAACAATGCTAAAACCACAATTATTTTTGCACCAACCTAATAAAATTTAACTGTCATGAATAAAGGTTCTTAAATTCTATTAAGTAAAATCTCCAAACTAATTTTTAAAATCTATAAGCAGGAAAAACAACTCACACAGATGACTACATCTTATCACCTTTGTTACTCTTCTGAAAGAAGACAAACATAATTTGCAAATTTTAGGTGAACTAATCATCAACCTCCACATATTCTGCTAACAGCCATTTTTTGCCAGTGTAGGGATATGACGATGGATATAGCACTGTTAACACTACAGAGGTTGGTTGTATATGTTACCATTTTATTTCTGCCAGACACTGCCTGCCTACCTGCTGTAACAGTGCTGACTGTGTAGCTGCGTTATGCTGTAACTCCTGCAAGGATGACTGCGAAGGGTTCTGGGAAAACCCAGGGATAGCTGGGAGGGACAAAAGACCTGGAAAAACAGAACTGCCTGCAGCTTGAAGTCCAGAAGATAACCTAAAACAATTGACAGAAAAACAGGTCAAACTGCAGATAAGATATAAAAGCCACTGCTTCTATTATTTGTCAAGTACTATCCTATGATGTTGAAAACAAAAAAAAATTAGGATTTATTCATCTGTAGGAAAGAACCATAAAAGTCAGCCATTCACTGATGTACAACTTTTTATTATAAAGTATATTATTCTGAATTCGATAACTTTATGTGTTGTATAATACTTTCTACTTTATAAGCAATAAAAACTACAAAATACAAATCCAAAAATTATGTCCATAGGTATATTTTATCTATCTTAACATGGTTCAAGAGCCATAAAACATTCTTAGAGCACTGATGTTTCAGCCCAGAAAAACATCATTTAGCACCACCAAATAATTAAGATTTCTGACTTTTGCTTGGACTTTTTCACAGTCTTATTAAAATAAGACTGTGAACTACAAGTTAAGGTGAAGAATAATTTTACCCTATTTCTAAACTATTCACTTACCCAGCTTGTGCGACGAGAGCAGAGTTGAAATTAGAACTGAATGCTGAGGCGAATCCCGGGAGGACAGGGGCCGGGGATGGGGCTGTGGCAGCCACAGGCAGTGGTGTGACAGCTGGGACCGTAGTGGGCGCCTGCAGCCCCGGGAACGAAGGGAGGGCAGGGGTAACGCTTGGGGTGTTGGAGACGGAAAAGCCAGGGTAGGAGGGATTTGAAGACGGCAGAGGTCCTTGGGTAACTGAGAAAAGTGAGGGCACAGCAGGGGACAAGTTGAGGGGGAAGGGTGCTGCAGAGACTGGGGCCGAGGCAGAGAGCCCTGAGGGAACAGCTGCCGTGGAGCTGGGATGAGAGACAGATGCGGAGGTGGCGGTGGTTGATGAAGTGGCTATTAATGACCCTGGAAGAGATACTGGCGGATTAAGAGACGGGTTGGCAGTTAAAGGAAAATTATTGGTCAAAGAAGTAAAAGGAGGAAGAGCAGTGAATACTGGAGCAATGGGAGCGGAGGAAGCGTGTGGAGGGAGGGAAATAGAGGAAAGGGGATTTGAACCATTTAAGGGAGTACTCAAACTGGAGAGACCTGACAATGCAGGATTAAGGCAAGTAGATAAACTGATGGGCACCGATGTTGAAGTATAGGCACAACCCAGTGTCCCCGACAAACCTAAACTGCCATGGGAGGGAGTCACGGAATGAGATGGGCCTTTGAAGGCCGAGGGAGTAGGACTCGTGGGCTCAGTTTTGATCATCACGGGCAGAGTCGTTACAGCAGGGGTAGCTGAAATATGCAGGTCTGAGGTACCTGGGTGGGCGCCATGCAAATGGGCAGCCGAGGAGCCGCAGCTCACTGGCACTGACGTCGCCGACGACGTAGGAGTGGCTAAAGGAGGCTGCGCAGGCAAGGCAGGCGGGGCGGAAGTTGAGTTAGTCACAGGAGATGGAAGGCCTGGGAACACGGCCAAGCCTGGAGTGGAAGACCTCTGTGGGGGGGGAATGGCCGACGGGGCATAGCACTTGTTAGGGGCTGAAGCAGGAGAATCAGAGTTTTGATTAGTTAGAGAAGATAATGAAGCCAGCCCACTAGGAACAGCAGAAGATAAAGCAGAGGAGTTCATTAAATTGGTGTCATTTGACGTCAGAAAGCCTTTTAAAGCAGACAAGAGAGGACTGTTTACGCCAAGTGGACCAGCAACGTTGGCAGCAGAACCACTGGCAATTACAGAAGGAGTCAGATTGGCTACGCCTTGGGATGTTGGTGGCAAGGGCAAAGGAAGACCTGCAAAACCTGATGACAATGAAGCAGAATTTTGGCTGTTGGTAGAAGCAGCGGTAGAGGTGGCGGGAAAGGGGAGGCTTGCGAAAGGAGCAGAAGTAGAAGCAAATGTTTCACTAGAAGTAAGAGTGGCCCGAGGTGCAGATGTGGCCTGAGGGCCTGGGGCAGGAGTAGCAGGAGGACCTGGCAGGGGCACTAGGCCAGAAAAGATAGAAGGAACAAGAGCGGATGTTGTATTGTGGATGGAAGTAACAGGTGCAGCAGGCAACGAAGGGGTTCTGATAACTGTTGGGTTTGGTGCTGGCGGCTGAGGTGTATGAACGGCTGAGGAGACCTGCCCTGGGAACACAGGAAGGACAGTATGTGGCAGGTTAATTCCAGAAATGGTGGCAGCTGCTGATGCTGATGGGTGATTTACTGCCTTGACCGGGGATGCAGTAGGGACAGGAGTGGCAGCAGATGTTGAAGGATTAGAACCATGAGGAGAGAACAGCTGACTTGCTGGGGTGGAAAATGCTGTGGAAGGGGGAAAAGGGAAGAATGTATCATCACGCTGGAATGTCAAATTTTAACTCAAAAGAAATGCATAACCATTTTTATACTATTTAACAAATATCAAAGAAAATCAACGACATAGGCTTTGAGGTATGTGAAAGCCTTTGTGAAAAAAAAAAAAAAAAAAAAAAAAAAAAAAAAACAAAAAATCAATGACAGGTAGAAAAGGCTCTTGTAATATCTAAATTGCTGGATTCCATTAGCCTGATCTTCACTCTGGAGCCTCAGTCAGAACCAGTTGTCTTCTAGACTCTGCTCAGAATAGGAACAGCCCTCCAGTTCACAGTCGGGACGCCTCGAGAGCTCACAAACCCTCCTTGTATATTTTTCCACTTTTTAAAAATTCAAAGAATTCATTTTAATTGTGATTAGTGTTGATGCACTGACTTTATCTCTCTTTGAAATAGCTCATCTAGAGTAATAATCACAAGTCAATCCCTGTCTTAAGAGTTTCCGGGACATGGCTTCCCTTTCAGGGGCATACGAGGCCTCCCAGAAGTCACGCTCATTTATCTAGTAATGTCTGTTGCCACTCTGAACTGAATTTAATATTCTAGATTATTAATCTGCATAGTTTTTCCCCACATACATTTGCTCATATTGACCACTATACTACATTAATCCCCAACCTTACTCTGGCTTGTCCTGGGAGCTCCCGTAGGGGCAAAAGCTGTGTCTAATTCATCTTTAGAGTCTCAGCACCTAGCACAGCACCTGTGTAGTTCAGTGTTTGCCGTGCTGGATATATCATGATTACCTCAGACTACAGTTCCCAAACGCATTCGAGGACTATTCTCAACAATATTTCTAAAGTTTGCTACAATATTTTATTCTGACAAACTCCACAAATAATTAATATTAGCATTTTGGGGGATGATTTGCATTCCTCCCTGAATAAATTCAATGACTATGTCTGCCTGTGATAATCTTCTTGGTGTAAAACGGAAAGCATGACTTAAGTAGCTAATGTCATGACGACAACTATCATCTGATCCTGAACTCACATCGAATTCTGTTTTGGTTGTAAACAGAGAATGTTTCTTTTTTAGTGATAATCAACCGAAAGACATTTTCATGGACTAAGACATTTTTAAATCTATATATAATTAAGACTTTTGACATAGGAAGCTGACGTGGTCAATGAAGTACCTCACCTAGGGGGAAAATTAGTGTTATGGTGCTGCTGCCATCTGGAGGCAGTACGTAGGCCATAGTTCATCTTCATCATTCAATTTCGTTTTCTGCTTTGATGCTCGTTATTCTTTTCTACTCTGAGTTATGCTTAATAATACTTACTGAAATAATTATATCTAAGAGCAGAATCTGACATAGCATTTGTCAGAAAGGGTTTTTATCATCCTATGTGCTTATATCAAAAAAGAAATGAGGCTTCCAATATCACAGCATGTAAAATGAATGTGGATACAATGTCACATAGCACTTACGTTACATTGCAAGTTTTGCGAATAGGATACAAAGTCCTGAGATTAATTTTATATCCAGTTAATATGTGCATTTTATGTTGTGTGTATAAAATGTACCAAGATTAAGCCACCTTTAACAAGTATTAATTACATTCTTTAACCAGGCACTTTTCCTAAAACATTAAAAATTCTAAATACACTCAACTCATATCGTTCTCAGTGAATAAAAAAGCAGACAACAGCTATCTCTGGATCAAATTTGGTACTTACTTTGACTCTGTGCAGCTTTTGACTGATTGGACAGGTCTTCATTCTCTACACAAAAATAAATAAAAGTTCACTTTAAGCTTTAATCAAATTATTCATCACCACAATAAACAGAGATTTGGGTAAAAAAGAATAACCTAGCATATAAATATATATCTATACTGTATTAGGAAACACAATGCACATACACAAAAAAAGAAAGAAAATGAAGAGAGTAGTAACTATATGAGGATTGAGAGGATTATGAGCAAATGATCTATCCTACCCCCCCAACCTTAGCTTGTCACATTTTAAATACACATTGTTATTTTATAGATACACTGTATTCAAGAACACTTTCTGGAAAGATGCCAGCTGCCTGACATCCAGGAGAAAGTGTAGCAGGCAGCTATCATGTAGGAAGGACCACCCACTGTCATTGGCTGAGCTAACAGACAGCCCCCTCTGGGCACCACTGCCCAGACACGGGAAGACTGGGAAGTGGGAGGTGGCTGCTGCGTGAATGAGCGCAGAATCCACCAACAGCCAAGTAGACTTCCCAAACCAACAGAAAGAAACCACCCTGCCCACTTGCTGTACTCCGCTCTGGGAAAGGCCCTATGCCAGCAGCTGTCAGAGAACTAGCCTAGCTGAGGCTGACTTGATATCTTCGGGACTGACAACCTAAAGCACGCGCCTCCCCGCCCGCATGGGAAAGAACTTGTCCAACCAGCTCATCTGCCAAGGATACAAAGGGGAAAAAATTATTCTCTTGTGGCTTGACAATAACTGCCCAAGAAACCAATACTGTGACAGGCATAGGGTGCAAAGGGAACCCACAAGCCCTGGCATAAAGTGAGCAAAGAAAAATCACAGCTTGTTTAAGGGATTTACTAGCTTAACCAAGGTAACAACAAACACCAAGAACAATGGAGATTGAAGCAACAAAAGAAAAAGAACTTTTAAAATCTGTAATACAAATTAAGAACACACACGCATACACATAATACTTCGAGGAAATAAGCAGAGAAGGTAAAGACTTTTAGATATAAAAATCTGATTCCAAATTAATAAATGTAAGGAATGGTGAAGATTAGAAATAACATTACTAAAAACTAAACTCCTTAGTTGAAAACAAGAAAAAAAAAATCCTGCTTAGAATGCCAAAATACCGGCTGGGCGCAGTGGCTCAAGCCTGTAATCCTAGCACTCTGGGAGGCCGAGGTGGGCGGATCGTTCTGAGCTCAGGAGTTCGAGACCAGCCTGAGCAAGAGCGAGACCCCGTCTCTACCAAAAAAATGGAAAGAAATTAATTGGACAGCTAAAAATATATGTAGAAAAAATTAGCCGGGCATGGTGGCGCGTGCCTGTGGTCCCAGCTACCCGGGAGGCTGAGACAGTAGGATTGCTTGAGCCCAGGAGTTTGAGGTTGCTGTGAGCTAGGCTGACACCACGGCACTTGCCCCAGGCAAGAGAGTGAGACTCTGTCTCAAAAAAAAAAAAAAAAAAAGAATGCCAAAATACCAAAAAAGAGTCATAAGTGAACAGGTAAAGAAGGCAAATACAGAAAATCTAATAAACACAATGTAAGAGTACCAGAAAAAGGAGACAAAGAAGAAAAAAAAAAAAACAAACAGATGAAAATGTAATGATTAAAAGAATAAAAACAAAATTTTCCTAAGCTTCAAAGACTTGAGCTTTCACATTCAAAGGCCTGACATAGTGCTAGAAAAGATTAATGACAAGATACACACCTAGACATCTTGGTAACATTCCTGAAATCCAAAGATAAAAAATATTTTCTTTGTAAGCTTAGACAAGGAGACCAAGTTTCTAATAAAGAAAATAAAATTAACTGGAATTGGATTTCTCATCCACAACTCTACACATGTGCCTTTTATGAAGAAACTTCTTAAAGATATTTTCTACCAAATGAAAATTAGAACAAACATATCAGGATAGGGGATCAAAGAATAGAAGAAACAGTACCAAGTCATGATTAGAGGCAATTTTAAAGAAAAATCAAATATCAGAAGCAAAAATGTATAGTATTCCAACAAAACACAGAAATTGATAAAAAGAGTGTATGGAAGTAAAATGACATATAGAATAGTTTTTTTCTTTAGTTTTTGTATACTGACAACCATTAAGAATATGAAGGTAATCCCTAGTAATATTAAAGATAACATTTTCAAGTTCGGGAGGGGGCAAGGAGAGAAGAGTTGTTAAAAAAACAAAACAGCAATTTGACTGATCCAATTTAGCAAAGGTAAAGAAACAAAAAACTGAAATAAAAGAATAATAATGAATATAAAAATAAAATGGAAGAACTAAGAACAAATGTGTAATATTTATGATTATCAGAAATTCCAATTAAAAGTGTCCCCTAAGGGTATAAAAATAGAAATTGAGCTACATATAATTTGCAAGCCAAACTAGCCTACCAAATAAACAAAACCCTGGGGAGAAAAAGTTGAAAATAAAGGTACAGCAAAATATTTTTTGTACACTAAAAAGAAAAAGGAGTTAGGGCAATATTATTACTCAATAAAGCCTAGGGAAAAAAGAAATATATAGTGTGTGTATATATATATATAGTATATATAACTCAGTTAATATTATTTTATACCTAGAAAACTCGACAGACTTAAAAAAACTAGAATAGGTAATTGGGAATAAGCACCTAGAAATGAAAGACTTCATTTATAATTGTAATAAAAATTACCTCTAAATTCTATAGAGACAAATTTAAGGCACAGAACTTATATGTACAAAACTATAACATCTTCTTGAAAGAGATAAAATAAGCCATGGGGAAGAAAACACTACCAATTAGACATGATATAAAGACATACACATGAATGAATGGTAAGACAATATCCTAAAAATGTCAATTCTCTCCAAATTACTATATAACTCTCTCTACATATACATATATATAAATTCAACTGTTTTTTTTAATTGCATAAAATGACCTTAAGGTTCATATAAAAGAATAAATTTATAAAAATAGGTAAGAAAAATACAAAAATATATGAAGGGGAGCTTGCCTTATCAAATATTAGAACACACTGTAAATCTGAAATCAATATGATATAATCATAAAATAACTACCCTGGCACTGAAAAAAGAACCCCAGAGTTATACCTGTGTGTGTATGAAAACTCAAGATAAATGTATTTCAAATCAGTGGGGAAGACAGACTAATTAATAAATGGTGCTGGCACAACTGGCCACAACTTGGAAAAAAATTAAGATGAACCTCTATTTCACCATATATGAAAATAAATTCCAGATGGAGTAAGTATCTTACAAGATCTAAAATATCTGAACTGCCCAGGGATAAGAAAATCTCAACCAGGACTGCTTGGTCCCAGCTTTTCTTTCATAGCTTATATTTGTCTATGCAAAAATGTAAAAACTCTAAGGGCAAAAGGTACCATAAACAAGGGAAGGAAATAAAATGATAAATTTTGGAAAAATGTTTTGTAACTCTTATCAGAGTACTCAACAGAATTCACTCTTGGCTAGTTAAACAAATAAAGAATTTTATTATATGCTATTAAGGGCAGAAAAATAGTTAAGTTCTATTACTACCCTATGCATATACAAAAATATGAATGGCAAATGGATTAAAAGCTAAACATTTAAAAAGAACCACTATAAAAGTAATTGATTTTATATGATATTTTCATACTGTTGGGGTGGAGAAGGGTTTCCTAAGTAAGACACAAAACTCAGAAGAATCAAACAAACAATAATTAATCTAAATAAAAATTAAAATTTTGTAAAAAACAAAAATATAATAAGCTAAATTCATCTATCAAATTGGCAAAGTTAAAAAAACCGATAATCTTCTATGTTGAAAGGGTATGAAGAAACTGTATGCTCGTATACTCTCATGGGCAGGTATAATGTGGTAAAGATTAATCGGGAGAATATAATAGTTTGGCAATATATGGAAAACTATTTATTCTTCTTATCCCATGTTCCCAAAAGACCTAAAGCAAAAGGTTGGCAAGTGCTGGGGAGTTTCAGCTGTTCTCATCGCTTTCTTGCAAGCTCTTCCTCCCCCTGGTAGGACTACTTTGCCCAAATGGTGGCATTCATTAAGTCAATTATACTTCTCCATAGCTTGTCAAAGTTTATCACTTGAGAGAAATAGTTCTTTTTTCTACAACCTGACTGTGTTCACATATGTGGCCCAAGGCCACTCGAGTGTAGCCTTTATATCATTATGAAGTGAATGGGGAGGCAACCGTGCCAACTGGCAGTGGAACTTAGGCTACAGCGAGCTGGATCCCAGCTCCTTCCTCACTCTGCCAGGCACAGGGTGCCAAATCCACCCCTTCACACGGTCTTACCCTTCTAACCTACACATGATAAACTTCCTTTGGGCAGTGTATCCTTTGCTACCCCACTGTTAGAACCCCATACATATTCATCCATCAAGTTTAGCTTCTCTTTCAACAGCTCCTTTGCTGAGTCAGACAGGCATCTGCCCTAGTGTCCAAAAATTCTCAATAAAGGAGGCAGAAAGTCCCTCAGCTCTCTTCAATCTGGCAGTTAACAAAGAGCCTTGAAAAAAAATGATGCTCTGATCCCTTTTGGGTTGTGTGCAGATTTTACTATTTCCCAAGCTTGCTTGAAGAATCACCTGGAGATCCTTAAAAAACAAGATACCAGGGCCCCACCTCTAATCCACTGAAGCAGAATCTCTATACAAATGGGGAACTGAGGATGGTTTGAAAAAGTGCCCCAGGTAGTACCAGGTGACAGAGAAATCATGTCCTTGTTACTTTGCCATTCCTTGTATTTCATTACCAGTCTGTTTTTACCTATTTCTTCTTCACCTTAATGCAATTATATGGCAGCTGCATTACTAAGTCAACTATCTTTAGCAAGCAGCTCACATTTATTTATTATGAAAACTGCAGTGTTGCTAAGGATTCCTGTCCAGATCCATTAGGCACTTGAGCTTGTGCTCCCTCTCTTATGATACATCACGCGAAACAACTGTCCCCTCCAAGTACAGAACTGTCCTCTCAAAGTGCAAATTATTGTGTGTGAATAAATTACTTACTTTTAACACCCTGTAATAACATGACTTTACCTGGTCCTGTGGGATTAGGAGTATATGGAGGTGGAGGGGGCACGCCTGGAGCTATGATACTGGCTAACGGTACCAGACCTGCATTGTTATAAGCACCTAAAAATATAACAGAAAGAAGATATAATTTAATATTGTTCTGTGACCAGTAGTTTAAACTGTATTAATGCAGCCACTCCATTTATTTTTAAAACTGTTATATAATACGGTTGCACTTTACATGGAGGTTTGAGTCAAGGCTAAATGAAAACTGAGACCAAATGAGACAACTAGAGATTCCTGTTTCCCGTTGTATACTCGTTCCAGGCATTGGCTCACCAAATGGCAGACAGAACCTGTCATACTTAAATTATTTGCCTTTTCTGTCAAACACATATACTTGACCTTTTTCAGTTAAATGCATTAATGATGCTTCTGAACACCAACTACCAAAGAAGGATTCAAGGTAATTTACCAAAGTGGAAAGCCATATAGAATGATTAAAAATAATCTGTAATTAATTTATGAAAGGAAAACATCCTAAATAAACTTTGCTTGATATTGTGTTGCACACCAGGATTCTAGTAGCTGTCTATGGGCATAATTATGCGTATTGTAGAATTTTATAAGTGCTACAGATTTCCTAAGAATATAGACTAGCACTTACTTTCAATTTAGTGCATAAACAACAAAAAACAAAAACAAGTAAAAAAGAAAAAAAAGAGAACTCCTTACTTGGAGCAATAGTTGCATGTGGTCGGCACGGAGGTATTGGATAAGGAACAGGTTTATGTGGATTATATGTTGAAGGAGGCTAGAAGAGTGAGGAAAGGATAGCAGTTATTAAGAAAACCAACCAAGCTGTCTCCTGACAAAACCTGTCTTTGAAAATACTTAGTCCTAATAGGCTAAAAACACCCTAGCATATCAAATCCTTCTGGACTACATGGCGCAAATGAGGAAAATTTCTTTGGTTTAATAAATGTGGTTCCTATTAAATTCCAAAAGTAGATTTTGCCAAAGAAGTCCATAGAGGTGTTTATTTTTTAATTCATCTCTAATAAAGGGTCAGACCTTATCTTAAAGGATAGCAAACTCCTCTTGGACCCAGCCTAGGCTAATCTAAGAATTGCTTTCTCCTCTTATGTAACTAACACAAGAAATCTGCTAGGTTTTATAAGCTCGATTATGTAAGAGCCCCCCAATGGCAACGTCCTCTTAAACTCATTAGAAATTCATCCTATCATTCCTACCTTCTTTTAGAAGAACCACTGTTTGTTTCAGGCATTTAGCATTCTGATAACTCTAGCAGAATGTAGACTAGAATTAGGAATTCAGTATTTTAGTTGTTTTGCCTTTGAAATCGAAAAATCCACAAATACTTTATTTTACAGTTGATGGAACTTACATATAAGTAACAAAGAGCATTCAAAGTATTGGTCTTTAGAAAACTAGAAGTATCCGAAGCTAAGCCAGATGTTATATTTTTACCTTGGGGCAGGAGAGGAGACATATTGGTGGTAACAGACCAAGATTCTTTCCAGCTCTCATAATTGTGGTCCCATCTGAAGCACTAGGCTTGTGCAAGGATTATGATCTGCGACTATTCTGCCAGAAACAACTGCCACTAGAGAACTTGTCATGTGGATGGGCAGGGTCTGTCTGGTGACTATGTGTAGACCTCTGGTACTTCAATTCCAGGTATTCTTCAATCCACAGGGTTGTCTTCTTCTGTCTAGTTTATATTCCAATCATCCTAATCACTCCCTTGTAAATACTCTCAACTTCCTGGCTCCCATATGGTTTTACAAATACTAACTTGGCCAAACCACAACCTTAATTAAAGCAAACTCTCTACATGTCAACCTCCAACAGAACAGCTGAATATGTCTAGAGGAAAGCAATCTGACTGGTCTTACTTTATAACAAAATGCTTAACTTCAAAAGGACCCTCCATAACGTTAACTAATTATACTATTTTTCCCTAGATCATTCACTCTCCCCTACTCTCCTAGAATTTCTAGCATACTTTTTAAACTTTGCAACACAAAATAAAATTTATGCTTTGAATAGACAGATTACTTCAAGTAGGAGTTAAGGCTTGCTTTATCATTTGTTTTCTAAACCTACTGGTTTGGATGGTCCCAGAATCCGCGCAGCTATTCCTTTGCCTTCACTGGTACATTCTTCACCATCTCTTTTCAAAGGGGTTCCCTATTATTTTTTTCAAAAGACAAAAAAATAGAAAGGTAATTGAGACTTGGAAAAAGAAAAAAAAAAAAAAAAAACCCGAACCAACAACAACCAATCTCACTGTATTACACTGAAGAAAAGGACTTGGTAGAAGTGTAAAGACTTGGATTCCAGACGCAATTCTGCCCTGGCTGGCTGCAAGACCTTGATTAGGTTCTCAATCCTCCTATGCAATGGAACCCTCATAACATGTGCAAAGGTACTCAGAAGTAAACACACAATATATAGAGATGACACAAGGGGAAGATAAAGTATCGACAGGGGATTTGTTCCAGGATACCAAACTCCATGGATACTCAAGTCTCTTACATAAAATGGCACAGTATTTGCATATTTGTAACCTATGCACATCCTCCCATATACTTTAAGTCATCGCTAGATTACTTATAATACCTATTAATAATATAATGTAAGTACCATTTAAATAATTGTTATATTGTTAATATATACTATGTTTTATTTGTGTTATTTATTATTGTACTGTTATTTTTTAGCTTTTTTCCAAATACTATATGTTCTAATTTTTTTCTCCTCAACAAAAAGCAGCAATCAGAAATAGAATTCCAAGGCCACAGTATGGATAATGCTCAAAGAATAAAAAAAGAGTACCTGTATTACAGTTGAAAATACATGAGAAAAAATATTCTCTATAAATAGTAAGTATGATTGTTATATTGTCAAGAGTAAATGAGATCTCATTCAAGACTGCTATAATTAACAGATCAGAACAGGCTGACAGACTATTACAGTGTATCACCCTAATAGCGTGTATCTCGAAATGGTATACACTAGTATGGCAGCCAACTACCAAGATGGCCCCACTGATCCTCGCCTCCTATGTGGCCTCGTGCAGTTTCCTTACAGAATGAAGAGGGTGGACCTGTGTAGCAAATAGGATACTGCAGAAATGATGGCATTTGACTTCCAAGGCCAAGTCATAAGAGACACTGCAGCTTCCACTTGCCCTCTCCCGGATTACTCACTCTGGCGGAAGCCAGCTGTCATGTCATGAAGATACACAAGCAGTATTATGGAAAAGTCCTTGTGGTGAGGAACAAAGGTCCCCTGCCAACCCCCAACACTAACCTGACAGTTATATAAGTGAGCCACCTTGAGAGCATATTCTTGAACTCCAATCAAGAGCTTATGGTTACATGATGGTACATGATAAGGTTACATGATGACTGTAACCTCATAAGACAACCTGAGCCAGAAGTACCCAGCTAAGCCACTCTCACACTCCTAACCTATAAAAACTACGTGAGATAATAAACATTCATTGTTTTAAACCACTAAGATCTGGGGTTATTTGTTACTAACAATGGAAATATTCTTCGAAAAAGTTATTCTACAAAGCGGTTTGAAGAACACTGGATGATATAAAAAGTTTCTTTCTTATAGGACTTCTCAGGTCCTTTATTATGCAATGTGATTTTCAGGGAGGAAATATTGCATGCAGTTTCCCAAACATTCTTAACTAAGTGAAACGGTGATTACAATATTGACAATTTGAGAACTGCTCCTTTACTAAATGTAAATGTAAATCAGTGCTTCTAAAATACCTGGAAAAACAAAGTAAAACAAAATCATCTTCTTTTCTGTTTGGCTTGTAATATAGGTTTTACACAAATACTTTAATGGAGTTTACACATGAACTTTCAATCAGTGGTGAAGCTATGAATTAAACTGCTGACATAATAAAATTCTTTCCTTTGGAGAAGCATTATCAACTGGCATTTTCTTTAAATATCATTAACTCGTGCTACATTTCATACTTAGCTATGAGAAGTTTCATATACCGTCATAAAAGTATGCTTACTGGGAATATTCCATTTATGCGACTGGGTTTTCCTTTGGGATATGGATTTCCTGGGATTGTTCCACAAGAAGATATCATAGCATGAGGAGCTTTGCAGCCCCCCTTGAAAGCCTATAATAAAAAAAGAAGAGGGTGGTTAAAAAAAAAAAAAAAAGGAACTCTTAAAGTCAAGTATTCTTGACATTGGGGAGCCCAGCGAAAAAAACATGAATTAAGGAACAGCATTACTTCATTCTGTTCATACATCATTCAGTAATTACAGCGGTGAACATGACCAAAGTATTAATAGTAAGTAAAATAACTATTTAAATGGAATTATTAAAATGGTAACATAATGTTAATGTTGCAACTAATAGACTCTTACACAAAGATACCTTCACAACGGATTCTGTAAATTGTGTGCATAAATGTCTATTTATTATCTAACCTGTCCCATTTCTCCAACTACCAACAAATAACACAGTCCAAATCTATAAACACCAAGCTCATGTTACAGTAAAGGCAAGGAGGACACAGGGATAAAAGGGACATGGTCCCCGCGCTGAAGAAATTTACGACTTAGTAGAGAAACACAAATAACAGGACATTGGGTGTCCAAAGAGCTGTCCTGTTGAAAAGCAAGAGTTATTTGGACACATAATCTTCAACATACTATTACATAATTATAAGATATAGTGAAGGAAGGGATTTTGGTCTAGGCTTTTTATTACTGCATATCTAGCTTCTAAAACGATGTCTCACGTACTGAGTTGGTGCTCAATAAATACTCATTAAATGAATAAAAAACACTATACTAAGCAATTATATTCCATTGGATCTATATTGTATTAAAGGAATATCCAGTTTTATATATATATTATATATATGTATATATACACACACACACATATAAGTATGTTATATATTTTGTTATAGATTTACATTGGTTTTATAAATCCACTCTACACATATAATTATATTAGCTATAGAATCCAGCCCCCTACTAAACACCTGAAAATCACTTAATTTTTTGCCTATTAACATAAATAGTATTGGGGTGAATGCCCTTATATATAATTTGTATATATTTCTACTATTTCCTTAGAATAAATTCCTAGAAGTAGAACTTTTGGGCCAAAAGGTATACATTTTAAAGGCTCTTCAAGTTTACCTTCTAGAAAAGTTGTATTAATCTACATTGCCCTGAGGGCCTACTCTACAAAATACTCAAGCCAGAATATTTCTGAGAAAGAAGGTGACATGGTCAGAATGCTTTATAAAATGACAACAAAAAACTACAACAGTAATATGCATGATGCCATAAAGATTTTAGTCAAGAAAACCAATAAAGAAGTTACTGAAGTAAAGAAACACGGCTCAAATCTTGACTCCGCTACAATAATGTATGGTTAAAGTAAAGCTGCCCACTCTCCCTAAGCTTAGAGGAGGTTTTGAGGATTAAATATTAAACACAACTGAGCTGCAAGGCCCTAGGAAAGCAATCTGCATCTTCTCAAGCTGGTTTCTAATTATTATTAATTCAGCTTCCAGCCATCAGAACCCTAGGAAATAACTACCTTACATGATAAATCAAGTTTTCTAGGCTTAGACCAATACTCTCATACTCTTGTAGATTTTAAGCTAATAAACTAGAATTTTGTTTTAATATTCATCTCTTAGGAATTTACTTAAACCTGATAACAAAGCAAATTTGAAAAGTCAAGATTCTAAATAAAGTTAAAGACCAAAGCTTGGAGCCATGGCAAAGGCACCAAGACTGAAATGCCCCACGAAGCTCAAGCTGAATGGTCAACTGGCTTCTCACTCTCAAGCCATCTCATCCCCCTCGAGTGTCCCCTTTAACCAGCTCTGTTTCTACTCTAGAGACTGCAGGGATACTCATTTTTAACCCATCATATAATAGCTTTCAGGTTATTCACCAAAGTTAACACAGGAGGAAGAAAGGTACTTTTTCATCAACATTCAGAAAAAACTCGCATACCATGTACACAGCAATCTTGAGAAAACTACCTGTTCAAGTACTCTCTTGCATCGTTTCTTCTCAGACATATTTATCCTGAATAAATCTTCAATAGGACGAGAATTCTGTGCATCAACAATGTTTCTACCAAGAAAATACAAATTAGGTTTTCATTTAAAAACCTGGACATATATACAGAGGTCAGCAACCTTTATTTACTGTTAAATGTATCTGAATAAGGTTTTCTTGGGACATAGGGAGAAAAGTGTGATTATTTACTTTAAGTTGAGTTTAAATAACATTTATATAAAGGTGATAATTATAACTGAACTGAGGTTTATCTAACTGATTACTGGATTACAAAGTAATACTGTAAATAAAAATTACTGTTTTGAGATTTTTCAAACTATACCTTCTCTTCAATGATTGCTAGGAGAGCTATAGCAATAGAACCAACCCATGTGTTAAAGGCATAAAAACCATGGTTGATCTATAAATAAAGTTTTACCTTATGCTTTATTTTGTCTTTTTATGAACTTAAAAGTATGTTCTGTAAGTGAACAACAAATTACACACTGTTAAATTATGCAAAGGTTCCTTCCTTTTCTCTTTGAGCTTCACTCATTATGATCATCTATCAAATGCTGTGCTAGACGCTTTCACATACCTTATAGTATTTAAGTTCATGCACCCTACCTAACTAGGTGAGATCCTTATTTTTCCAATTAAGGAAAATAAGGCTCAGAAATAATAAGTACCTTGCCAAAAAAAATGCATTGTGTTGATAAGTGGCAGAACCTCTGTTTTAACTCTTAAATTCCTATCTTTAGCAACATGCCTTTCGAGTTATTCAGAGTAGGAAGACCAAGTAAGTTACGGAAATGCAGAAACAATCAAATTAAATAATTAATCTCAATAAGCTCCATTATTTTACAAGTATTAATAATAGCCATGTGTGTAATAAGTACGCTAGATATTTATTCACATGAAGAAATCAGAATTTATCATTATGATTTCACAGACTGTATTTTATTACAGTTCTATTTACTCATATAGTTCTGACACAATAACACACACTAATGAGTTAAAAGACATTTAAAAGGCTTCCAAATTCTTTTAAATGAGGCAAAAAAAAAAAAAAAAAGAAATACTTACGAAGCTAACAGTTCAAGAGCAACTAATTTGTCTTTACTGAAGGTGAAACAGTTGAGTATGTTGACCACTTCTGCTGGGTGCACTGCCACCATTTTCTGTTAATATAAAAAATAATTTTATGTTTAACATGAGATTTTTGTGCCAGAGATTACCCTTTTTTAGAAGCATAATTAAAGGCTCTTAATATAAACATTTTAGGTAAAATATTTTGCATTTTAACTAATATTTCACATTTTAGTTGAAAACTACTCAAAAAGAAGTTCTAAAAATACTTCATATTATATATATGTTTAAATATGTTATACTTACACTCTTCCAACGTAATTATTTCAGTTGAAGAACTAAGTTCTTCTCCAAGCTCTTTTTAATCCACATTTCTCAATATGTTCACTTTTAGAATAAAAAAAATTTACCAGTAGTACTTTCCTCAGAAAGCTTACATAAAAAGGTGATATTTTTATATATATATATATATGAGGTTAAATTGCTCAGGGAGTTACAAAAAATTATTATATTCCTCAGTTAGTGGGCTAAGTATGCCATAGATCAGCACTTCCCCAAAAGCAGTCCATGGTGCTAAATAGTGTTACCAAAAAAAAGGTACACTAGTCACATAAGTCAGGTTAAAAACTGAGATAAACAGGTTCTTTACTGCAGAACTTTCAGAGTCTTACGTTAATGTACATTGTGACACTTCAAGGTTGTGTGGGATATTACATAGTTATTTGCCTAGGGTATCTTTATTATGAAGAGCATCCTGGTGATTTGGTCAATTTATAGATTTATGTTAACAGTGAAGAAAATTTAAAAGCGAAGTCAATGTAAGAAGCAAGATGGTTAGCATCAATATCCAATATATATAGCAATGGTTTTCAAATATTTTTATTAATGAAAGAGAACTGATAAAACTTTATATCCCTTTTCACATTTTTTAATTGACATTTAAAGATTATACCAGAAGTTTAAATACTTGCAAAAGATCAATTTTCTTATATACATTTATATATCTGAAAAACTTCAGAACTACGAATTTAGCCCATTTATTTAATTTATGGAAATGTTCACTACAGAACCTAATTGGAAAGGCAGTCTTCAGTATGAAAAAAAACAGTCAAATCAGACTGACTTTGTCAGAAAAGGTCAGACTTAATTTAATTCAAATAATTGTATTGAGTTGTTCCTGTAACACCCTTCTCACCTCTGAATTTTAATTCTAAGGTAGGTAGACACGCAAGCAGACCTTAGAGCTTTGTTATGAGTTTGTCATCTTGATAAAAATAAGACAAGCCCTCATCAATATTTCCTACAGAAGCTTCTTTGCTTTTGCTCTCCCTCCCAGGAGTAAAGCATTGTCTCTGGAACTTAAAAAACCATTTTATCGCCAAGGTACAGGTGAGATAACCCTTCTTTTATAAAGTAGAATAAAGGTGTTAAAGAGGAGGTCAGAAAGCAGCATTAACAGACCCAGATATTTTCTTAGGCAGGAACTTAAGGATATATAAATTGATTCCACTACAGCTATCCATGCCTTATACTACTTAGAAAATCTTCCTATACAGCCAGATACCCCTAGTATGATGGTGTGATCTAGACACCCCTGTTGACCCAGGCTCTAGAGCTATGCTATCTAATATAGTAGCCACCAGGCACATGTGCCTATTTAAACTAATCATAATTAATAAAATATATAGTTTCTCAAACAGACTAGGCACATTTTAAGTGTTAACAGCCACTCATGGCCAGTAGCTACCACGATGGACGGTGCAAATAAAAAAATTTCCATCATCACTGAAAATTCAGTTGGACAATGCTGATGTAAAGAATATAAGTATAACCTGCCTGACAACTTTTCTAAGACTAAATACAAGAGGGTAAAGACGAAGATTAAAAAATAGAAGGAAGCATATAAAAACTTAAGAATTCAAATCCCGTATTTTGCTTGACAATGAATATTTTTTCTCTCCAATTTGCCAATTAGGACACTGTGGTGGGTATACAATTTAATAGTATAGCACATTCATTTTTTTTTTTTTTTTTGAGACAGAGTCTCACTCTTTTGCCTGGGCTAGAGTGAGTGCCGTGGCATCAGCCTAGCTTACAGCAACCTCACACTCCTGGGCTCAAGCAATCCTTCTGCCTCAGCCTCCCGAGTAGCTGGGACTACAGGCATGTGCCACCATGCCTGGCAAATTTTTTCTATATATTTTTAGTTGTCCGATTAATTTCTTTTGTATTTTTAGTAGAGACGGGGTCTCGCTCTTGCTCAGGCTGGTCTCGAACTCCTGAGCTCAAACAATCCAACCGCCTCGGCCTCCCGGAGTACTAGGATTACAGGCGTGAGCCACCGCTCCCGGCCAGCACATTCATTTTAAATTTACAGTTTGGAAAGTTACATTTTTTTAACATAATTATTTTGAATAATCAATGTATAATAAAATTGGGGGTTAGCTTTTCTAATACAAATTACAACTTGAGATGAATTACGGAAAACTAAGACAATTAAAAATACTTAAATTCTATATTCTAGGGAAAAAATAAGTTACTTACATGCTGTAATGCTTTCATTGCCTTCAATTGAGGCTCAGCCCAGGAAAAATATCTCAGTAAATCAACCACCTAAAAGCAAAGAACTAATTTAGATCGAATGACAGTGTGTTTGCAAACTTTTCCATAAGTTTTATTTCAGTACTTGGAATTACTATTCAACACGTGCAGCTCAGGCCCAAGTGAGGAGAGTGGGACCAGAGTCTAGACTATGCTGTCTCACAGAGTAGTAATGTGTGATTATGTAAATTTAAATCACTTCCATTTCAATTGCTCAATAACCTTATAAAGCTGATAGCTAGCATAATGGACACTACAGATAGAGAACATTTCTACCATCACAGAAAGTTCTACTGCACAGCACTCGTCTAGAAAAAAAGGAAAATATGTAATACAAGAGAAAGAAAATATCCTAATAAGAAAAGAAAGGACGAAAAGTACTAGATAGAAATAAAATATCAGCTTAGGAATACAAAGATGTACCATGAATAAAAAACTTTAAAACATTAGTGGAGAGTGGCATAGTTTTAATCATTCTCAAGGATGTGGTAGTGTAGTTTAGTGTAGGTCCATTAACTTCTACCCTTTTACTTGAATCTGGAGGGCATTAATACTCAAACCATGGATCTAGCCCCTGAAAAATATAAGAATCATCATGAATTACTCCAGCAGCTTCTAAAGGATGCATCATTTTGAGAGCTCAGATAGTCTGGCTCCCACCAACACCACCCTCCTCCACCACTACAGAACTTCATATGTATGAGGGGAACATTGTGAGTCAGCCAGTAAGAGATGAGCAGGGCATAAAGATCACAACAGTGAAGTCTCAGCATGATCTCCACCACCCTGTTCACTCCCTCCAAGTGTACTATGAAAGAAAAGAAAAACAATGCAAGAAGAGAGTTCCTGAAAATGTGCTAAGGTTTCAATTATTCTACAAAGCAAGGTCAATGATGCAAAGTGGAGTGGTATTTGAAGAGTGAAAATACGTTTTACTTCCTATCAAAAGATAAATAAATAGCAAACAAGTATTATGCATACTTTCCAGTTAATTTGGTAAGAGTGTATGCCCTCACTTTTATGGGAATAATGTTCTTTGTATATAGGAAATGTTATATTTTACCAACCATAACATTTTATCAACCATAAAACTTTACAAACTATCATGTCTGATATAGGAAGAAAAATCTTTAATATAGTAATTAGGCTTAGAATGTCTCAGAAAGTGGCTTATTAAAGTTTTTAATGACTTTAGCAAAGTGGAAGCACCATTAAGGGTGGTAGATCTGACACTCACAAACACACACAAAAGAAAAAAGCTACTAACTGTGAGGAATTATAAATCTTTTCAAAACATTTAAGGTGACTTTGTAAAGCAATGGGAAAGCTAAAACAAACAAAAAAAACTATCATTAAAAAGGCAACAACAAATGCCTTATCATGAAGTAGCTTGTGAGAATTCAGTAGGCAGAATTTCTACAGGCTTAAAGTTATTCAAGCTTTCAAGTTTTGAAGCTCTTGAGACATCAATGAAAAATTAGAGCGTTTAATAAATCAATCTATAGATTCATCCATTATCCATCTTTCCCAGAACTGTTATCCATATGCACATTTCTATTTCTGCCTGACTTCTTTATCAAGAATTTTCTTGGTATGCCTCAGAAATCCTCACCTGCCTACTGTGTATATACATATACACACAAATATTTCTTTTAAATTAGTGAACTCTCCCTATGGTGGGGTGAACGTTTCCACTAAACTACCGTGCTTAAAACATTAGTTGTCTTCTGGCAGTTACAGAAAATACTTATGAGACACTGTGTATTTTTTTCTTATTGCTGAAATTTTTATTTAGCGGCTTCTTATAAGAACATATTTCATTTGATCATACTTTCTTTCATATTATGTAGTGAATTTTGCAATTATTATCTTATAAATAACTGTACAAAATTGGCTATGTTTTCCATTACAAATTTATAAATCTTTGATATTCTGTCCGGAATGATAAACACCTTGAAGTGTTTTTTTTAGACAATATATTTTAAAATCATTTTTGAATATGAATTGTGGTAAAAGTGGGTAGGCTTGTAAAACTGTCCCTGAGCTATAAATTCTGCCAAAACTTAAAGCTTCTAAAGTTCCTGAATAAATACAGCAAAAAGGTAAAAGCAATTCTGAATTTGACCAGCAGGTAAATTAGACATTAACCAGAACACTCATATAAAAAGGTGACTTTCTTTAAACAAATAATGCAGAATACCTGTTCACTAGAGAAGTATCCATGCACATATTCAATTGCTTTTAATTTGTATTCTGTCAAAACAGCCTAAAAAAATACAGAAAAATAGCATTAATATATGTAAGCATCACAGTAATATGCATGTATCAAAACTGCCTAAGCAATTCAATAATGGTAGGTCTCCTTTAGCCCTGGCACACAGAGGCAGCTAAGGTCAGCATGGTGACAGGACATTCTACTTTTCCAGGTTCCATATTGTGAGGGATACACTGGGTGAGAAGGAAGTCCTCCCTACTCACTCTTACAAAGAAAGGGAATAAAACTGTAATACATATGATTCAACATTAGTGGAAATTACATATAGAATTCCTGAATATGTGTTTAAAGAGTTTCAAAAAATTCCAAATCCAACCAAATTTGTCATTTTTCAGATTAAAGGTATCAGCTGTTACTCATCAGTTATTTATTGAATAACTATTATGAGCTAAGTCAGCAGTCCCCAACCTTTTTGGGGGCACCAGAGATGGGTTTCATGGAAGACAACTTTTCCATGGGGGTGTCTGTGGCGGGGATGGTTTCAGTATTGATTGGAGAGCATTACATTTATTGTGCAGTCAAACCTCTCTGCTACTGATAATCTGTATTTGCAGCCACTCCCCAGTGCTAGCTAGCATCATCCATCCCAGATCATCAGGCATTAGATTCTCATTAGGAGCGAAACCTAGATCCCTCCCATGCTCAGTTTACAGTAGGGTTCACACTCCTATGAGAATCTAATGCTGCTGCTGATCTGATGGGAGGCGGAGCTTATGTGGTGATGCCAGTGATGGGGGATGGGGAGTGGCTGTAAATACAGATGGAGCTTCACTTGCTTACCTGCTGCTCACCTCCTGCTGTGCACCCGGTTTCTGACAGGCCACAGACCTAACCAGGGGTTGGGGACCGCAGTGCTAAGTGATAGAGAAGCAAGAATAAGACAAAGTCTAGTTGAGGCACTCAGTATTTCTACCGGGATATGAGAATGCAAGAAGTCAAAAGGCCTGAATTCAACGTTTGTACCTGCCACTAACTGGCAGTGTGTGGCCTTTGAGAGGCATTTTAATTCCCATGGAGCTTCTTCACTTGTAAGAGGGAACACCATTCACCACCCAGCTCAAAGAGTTACTCTGAGGATTACAATAGTCAACATTAGATATAACACATAATAGATATTCAGTACATGACAGTTACTTTCCTCTACAGTAGTAGGTGAGAGAGAAGTTGGTGGCCTTGACCCAGCACTATCTAGAGCCCACAAAAATCACATATGCTCCCCTTGTGGCTATTTACCTAGGTTAGAGATGGAAACACCAGGCTATTAAAACTTGATAGCCCACTAATCGTTAAAAATGATCTAATCCCTTTGCTTTTACTACAAAATAATATTTATACTTTCCATATATATCATTCTGCTAGGAGAAAATATTATAACCAGTCAATTGAAACATCCCAGGCGTTCGGTAGTTTAACTTTCACTGGAAAGGGGAGGAAATGGCATTCTGAATAAAGTACTCTTAAAAGTTTGATTATCATTATAATCATTGGACACAGTCAAATGCAAGTTTCTGAACCAAATCCTGAATTGTGTTGAGATGCCAAGTCATGTCTCAAATCTTTCATCAGTCAATGCTTGAGAGGCCAACCCTAACCCTAGGCATGACAGCATGGAGCTAAGTAGTCACAGTGTCTGAGTTTGAATATTGGACTCCCCACTTACCAGCTGAGTAAGCTTGAGATGACCAGTTAACCTCACAGAGAGTAGGTCTACCTTCTGTAAAATGAGGAGTACAGTACCTACCTAATAGGTTGTTAGAGGATCAAAACAACTAATGAATGGAAAAGTGTTTAGAACAGGCTCACAATAAGTGCTCCCTAATTATGGCTATTATTACCTCCTTTATGAAAAATAAATTAAGCATTGCCTTTTCCTGTTTCTTCTCCCCTTCTTATTTCTTTTCCTAGTTTCTTCTTAACATGCCTGTTTTAAATGACAGTAGTGACAACTGTATTATCCATAGACCTATGGTGACATTCAGTTAAAGAGATGACTTGGTTTAAACTGACTTACATTTACAAAGTCTAAGAGCAATTTTTTAAAAATCAGTAGTAATGCTCATATTTAGATATGCCAGTATTTTATTCTGTTTTAATAGACTGAGACAACGTTGTTGTATTTAATCATTTGGCAAAGCCAGCAAAAGACATATTTTGATTGCAGACCAGAAATATGGACTTAAGTTGCCATTCTCATGTGAACATGACCTTCACATCTGGAAAATTTCCTATTCTCATCATTAGTATTTACTATGTGTCATTTTGATAACACTTAGAAGAAAGAGAATATGTACAAAGACAACCTGTAGTTTCCAAAACTAGAAATCTGCTGTCCACTTGAACTAACAAATTATCTTCTCATAAACAGTAGTTAAAAATCAGCTCATGAACAAGTTGTGACACATTTTAAGTATATTGTTAGCAAACCCACGTTTTATTTCAAATCTTAATTGGACAAATTGGGTTTGCAAAAGCAGACATTTGTTCAAAAAAGAACATTCGATATTGTTAAATGTGAAAAATTAAACATGTCAATTTGAAAAAGAAAAAGCCTTATAAAGAACAAAGATAGTTTTAGCAATAACTTTGTAAGCTGAAATAAATAAGCACTAAAGTACATGAAAACAATTCCTTCCAGATCAGTCAAGGGTCACAGAGATATGGAAATGCAGATAATAACTGCCCGGAAGGCCTAAGCACCCCATGTTGATATAACAATGGTACAGTTAAGTCCTTTCAATTATAAACAGGTAACCTTTTATTTTGGGGCTTGAGGTACTTTAAGTTCAAGATTGCATTCCAAAATTTTTGCAGTCTGGGAGGTAGGATACAAACAACAGTCTCAAAAAGCAAAAGTTCGGAAAGCAAGAGAAAAAAAAATTTGAAATTCAAGTTATTTACAGCCAATTCCTTAGAATGTGACTTTAAACTTAATGCCACACTTCATTAGGACACTAGTTTTTTTCTGGCCAACACAACAAATATGTCTATCCTTAGAGTGGAAAAACCTACCATAACTACCACAAAAGAAACTTTCTTCGTGTTACCTCTAGTTTACAGTCACTCTTGTGTTACTGAAATAAACTCAGAAATATTAAATCACTTATCCAAAACTACAGCGCTATTAATGATCTGTAAAGCCGGCATTGGAAACAAGAATTGTCTGAATATAATTTCAACAATAGCCGACTGATTCTCAAGTATAGCGTTAACATAATCTCTATTTGTATCGTGAAATATATCAAGATACAAGCTCCTACATTACACGTGAACATTCAAACCAATGTGGCAACTCTTAGGACCCTTATTTTGCGCAATCTACACATGGTACGTCAAAGAGAAATCATGAGAATTCGTATCTCATAAATCATTTATGGAACGGACTGTCGTTACCTTTCTGATTTCATCCAGCACCGTTTCAAAGGACTTTTTGTCCATCTTGACTATTATCTCGATGTAGGTTTAAACAGTTACACGTTCAATCACAAAATGTTCATCCCTGGTCTTCCCTGCTGATAGTAAAAATATTTATAGCTGAGGAGGAAAAAGACGCCACGAGTAACAGAAATGATGCAAAGAGGTAGAAAGTACTGCAAACTCTGCAAAAATTTCTAAAAACGGAGACTTAGAAAAACTTTATTAAAAACAAAAATCATTCCCGTCAGGTTTCCCTAGCTTCTTCACACAAAGCTTCAGGGCAGCCTGGGGAAGAGCTCGATCCTCCGAGTCTCGCAGAGAAATCCAAGAGCTTGGCGTCCAGGGCTGAGCGTCGTTTGCTGCAGCTGAGGGCCAGGTGGCGCCGGGGGAAGGTCGTGAAGCTGCTTTCCGGGGTGGAGAGGCCGGGAGGGCAGAAGCACCTGTCTCGGGAGCTTCGCGGACGGCGAGGAGGGAGACGCCGGCCTCTCGGCCCCCACCAGCGCCTCGGCCGCCGGCCGCGCCCCTCACCGCCGCAGACCCGGACTCATGGCTCGCTTCGCGCTCACTCCTAGCCGCTCCACCTGACTCCTGGGTCCCTCAGCCCGGACAGCAGGCAACCCGGCAGGCTCTTTGTTATCAGCCACCGCGGCTTCCGGGAACGGGCCGGCGGCCGGAGAGAACGGGGAGCGCGGCAAAGAGGGTCACGGCCTCGCGTAGGGGGACTCCCGAAAGCCACAGCCCCAACAGCGCCAGGCGCCCGGCCCGGTTTTCCCTATAGCCCCCACCAGCTCAAAAGGACCTACAATAAAGCCCGTCGCGCCCGAATAACTCAACTCTGCGCCGCCAGCTTGGCCGCTCTTTCCTGAAAGCTACTGGAGGGGTCCTGCTGTGGGAACATGGGCATCCATTGCGGATGCCTAGATGTCTCGGAAAAGGATAGGGCTAAAATCCTTCCCAGAGCCTGGAAGTCATTTTCTTGAGTTGCCACCCTTATTATGCTTCGTGTTTGGGTGTGGCGTGCTTTGATTGTTCAATCTAAATTTAAAAAAAAAAAACAAAACAACAAAAACCGGCAATCGGTTAAGGCATATCTATGGGCGCCCCTATTTTGGGGGCCGGGAGAAGTTCGCGTCGTGGACCGCCCCGAGGGGCGGGGAAAGGGTGGTCACTGGGTCGGCTCTAAGCACCTGACTTGGGTGTAGGGACTCAGGAAGGCCCAGGGCATCCGGAATTGGTCTTCTCTGGTATCTTTAGCCCTGGTCTCCGCTTGCTTCCGTCCTCAAAGCCCGCTCCTCCAGGGAGGGGAGATAGGCAATAGAGGTTCAGCCTGGGGTTCCGGGCAGACGCTCTGTGCAGCCGCGAACCGCTCGGACCTGAGGGTGTCCGGCCGCCTTCCCTCACTGGCGGACCCTCCTCCTCCCTCGCTTGGCTTCCCGTCTGGCGATGGCGAGATTCTGGGTCTGCGCAGCCGGTGCCGGCTTATTCCTTGCATTCCTGGTTTTGCATTCGCGTTTTTGTGGCTCTCCAGTGAGTTGAGTGGTGAGGCCATGACTGTTGGGTGTGTGGATGGCACTGTTGGGAGGCGACGCCGCGGTCGGGGAATGGAGGTGGCGGGTCCTGCACCCTGATTAGCTTGTCTCAAAGTCTGCACCTGGGACGGAACTGCCGACGTGTTTCCTTGATTCTTAAATGTTAAAAAGTTTGTACATAGTACATCGCCACTTGCCTTATTTTTTCGTATTTCCTAACTCCTACTACACCCGCAAATAATTTGCAGATTTGTATTGTGGTCTTCTTGGTCTTTAGACTTATAAGCCCATTTCTTTGGAATTATTTCAGTCCAGCAAACTAATGATTGTCAAGGCCTGCCTTAAGAAAAAGTACGTCCCCCACCGCCTTTTTCTTTCTTACCTAGAGGGTAAACTGAATCTTAATCTCCCGATTTTATTCAAGGTTTTAAGGAACTTTGCTTTTCAAATTTCCTGGAGAACTGAGAAGATTCTTTACAGGCTGGATGTGGGTTGGCCTAAGTATTCAGAGTATTTTACTGGAACAACATTTTGTGTTGCAGTTGACTCCCTCAACGGATTGGTTTACATAGCACAAGTAAGTAAAATAGAGATTTAAAAAAATGTATGTGAACACTATGAAGGAGGCAATAGCCTTACTATAATAACTTACCATATGCATTTATATTATGCCAATTGTACCATTTATTTTTGAGTTGTTTTCAAGTAAGTATTTTGGTTTTGAATGTGAAAGATAGTAATATTGTCGGGTTTTGAAGTTGGTTTCTCAGATGTTATTGAATTTCTCAATTAACTTTAATTTTTGTTTCTCTTTGCCAAAATAAAGAATACATTTCTTTAAAACCGATCCTATCTAAGAAGTTATTTTTGTATACCTTCAGAGAGGGGATAACATCCCAAAGGTATTAGTGTTCACAGAGGATGGATATTTCCTTCGATCCTGGAATTATACAGTTGACACACCTCATGGTATATTTGCAGCCAGTACACTACATGAACAATCCGTCTGGATCACGGATGTAGGAAGTGGTATGTGTAGTAATATCTATTAAATTATCTTGCTGAAAATCATATCTTTGCCCCTGTTCCTGCTAGTGAGGTTTAAAATCAGAGTTGCCGAAAGTAATAGTAATTTCTTTAATGCTTAATGAAATAACCGTTTTTAAAAATCTTTCTATTGTGCTTCTGCAGAATCAGGAAATTTAACAAGGAGGCTGTAATCATGATCTTTACTTGAACTTGTTGTCAAGGGACTTTTCCTCTTTAAAGTGTGAGTTGCTCTTCTCAGATTAAGTAACTCTAAACCTCTTCAGTGAAGCCAAGTAAAATGACAGTCTCTAAAAGGGAAATAATGCAGTCCTTGACTGTCATTTTCCTTTATCAGTTCTCTTTCAAAAGAGATTGTGCTAAAAAAAAAACCAAACGTAATTGCTTCGTTGCCTAAAGTGCAAAGATTTGCAGAAGCTGTTGTTAATGTTTTTGAAATTCTACTCACTGAAGCATGTCTGAAATCTTTCCTCCATCAAATATTCTTAGCAGAAAATGCTGAAAAATGAAGTGAGCACAACTGAATTTACAGCTATGGAGAAAGTTTTTGGAGAAAGTTATTCACCTGTGCTGTGGCTTATGACAAGGCAGTACCAGAGAGAGGTGATCGTTACCGGAGAAAGTCAGGAAGGAATGGGATTATAAGGACAATATTTCTAGTATTCCTTGGCCCAGTTTTTCAATCGAAGGACATCCTCTTTCCATGGGTCTGGCTAATTCAGATACTATTTTGGGGAAATAATGAGGTCTCAGTTTTTATAAGTAGTATCTATTACCACATCTCTTCTTAGAAACCAAAAGATTTCTGGGCCTCAGCTGATGACCTATTTTTTAAAGCTGTATTTTAGATGGTAAGATTCTGGTTAAACCAAAAAATCTAGATTATCTCTGAGTTCATTGTAATGAGATTCAACTATTTTCACTTTTTTCCCCCCAGGATTCATTGTTAAAGTTGTGTCATTCTATTCATGTGATCCTGTATGATTTCAGTGATTTCTAGAAATAAAAAGAGTACAAATCATCTCTTCTTTTTTTCCATTATAACTTGTTTTCCTACCCACAGATCAGAAGACAGTTTTTATGTTCTCATTTTCCAAAAGAATAAATTTTCTCTAATCAAAACTATGGCTACAAATCAGCCATTTTTTAAAAAACATTATTTACTTGTATTCTATCCCTTTTGCTAGTTCTTTAGAAACTTTGAGGTTTATCTGTTTTCTTGTTACTATACACTTTAGCTCAAATATACAAATCAAGTATTTAATAAATATGTTTTTGAAGATAGAATTGTAATGCAAACTGATTCACTTTATTTCTGCTAAGCTTAATGTATCCAGTTTATCCTTTGAACAGCTGTCAGTTCGGTCTTGTGTGTGTTCGTGTTGATTTCTGTTAACTGCTTTATGATTTTCCCTTATTTATTAATATTTTACTTTAGGCTTTTGCTTGTAAGATAATTTTAACTCAAAGAAATTTTAATGTGAGAAAATAAGATACTAGTGACCTGGAAAGATTATTTCCTTCTTAGGAAAGAAAAGTTGAGGGGCTGAGTTTTGAATTTGTTTTCACTAGGAGAAAATGTAGTTTTAAAAAAATCAGTACCATAGAGAATTTTTTTTTTTTGACCTACTGAAATTTAAGATCTATATGTGGATGACTGAAATAACAGTTTTAAATATGTTATTTCTTTTATAATTTCTTCTTGATTTTACAAACAATGCTTATTCTAAAGGTCATTAGATTAAAAAAAGAAAATAGTACACCAATAATTTGATATCATGAGGTTTCTGTATAATGAGTCAAATTGGGGGGGGTTATGTATTCGAATTTAGACTCTACTTATTTTGGAGTAACAGATTTTAATTCATGAACAAATTTGGCTGTAACTTATGAAGAAGCTTTTTTACTTGTCAGTTATAACATTTAATTACCTAAGTCCATAAACCCCTTTTATTGCTGTTTAATTCTTATCAAATCTTTGCTCTTGGCTTACTTGAAAAATGTGAACATTTGTACAGTGGTATTATTTGTGAGATATGCATATCTATCTTTACAGGATCCTATGGTCATACTGTTAAAAAATACAATTCCTTTGGTGATCTTGTTCAAATCTTGGGTACACCAGGCAAAAAAGGCACTGGTTTGAATCCCCTACAGTTTGACAATCCTGCAGAATTATATGTAGAGGACACAGGAGATATTTACATTGTGGATGGAGATGGAGGATTGAATAACAGATTGATCAAATTGTCCCAAGGTACATGGCCTAATTTTCTATGGTATTATAAGAATATTATAAATTGGATTTAACGTATTTGATACTTGGTATAATGTTATAACGGTGTTATGTACGAAACCGTGTGTAAAGAGCTAAAGTGTATTACTAGGAGAAAACTAGAAAAAAGATGGGAGGGATTGCCAACAATAAATGATTCTGATAACGGACCTGCTTATTCTTCACCGAAGGCAAGGAGATTCCTCCAAAAGGAGCTAGAGGCAGAATGCGAATTTATAGTGAGCTCAAGAGATAGGTGGGTATCCTATCCAGTTAAGAATGGAGAAGTAAGGAACCCAGAATCCCAGAGTCAGGTATCCTACAGGCTGACTAATCAGCAAGAATCTGATCGAGTGCCTTCTCTGTGTCCTCTGTGGTATCAGGAGGTGCAGGTGTATTACGTGTGAAACAATGACATGTCTATGGTACTGATTCTTAAAGTAAGATAGGAATTAGGAGGAGAAACTAAATTGACTGGAGAAGTAGAACAGGGTTTCATGATGGCAGTAGTTCTTGAACTAAACTGGTTTTGGTGGGAGGAGAGGGGGATGAGGGGAACTTCATGGAGGCTTTATCATGCATGGTTCCCAGATGGTTATTAGGAAAGGAGGTGAAGACGCACTTTTGAGCAGTGGAAAATAAGATTTGGGATGTCCTCGAAAGCTCCTTTGAGGATTTTTAAAGGCATATTTTTGCCTATAAAGTGTCTTTGGGGTTTTTTAAGTAGGAAAGGGATGTTACAGAAGCAGAGTTTTTATAAGACACAATACTATATCAGTATCTATTTTGAGTGAGCTCTGTCATTTGGAGGCTAGGTAATTAATTTATCACTTAGTAACTGAATTGGGTTAGTAACAGTTAAAGCAGGTAGGTAGAGTGAGGAGTAAGCACGAATCTAACAAATTCTGTGAAAGAAACAACCAAATTTAGGAGACAGATTAAATATGAGTGTATTAGGTTCCTGTGGCTGCCATGACAAATTGGCACAAACTAGGTGGCTTTAGCCAATAGAAATTTATTTTCACCATTTTGGAATCCAGAATCTGAAATCTGATAGGCCCTGCTCTCTCTAAAGGCTCTAGGGGAGAATTCTGCCTTGCCACTTCTAGCTTCTGGTGGCTCAGATATTCCTTGGTTTGTGGCAGCAAAAAGACAGTCTCTGCCTCCATCTTGGCCTCCTTTTTTCTGCATGTGTTTCTGTCTCAAATCTCAAATCTCTACTCCTTTCTCTTAAGAATTTAGGACCCACCCTACATCGAGGATGAACTCATCTTGAGTTCCCTAACTTAATTACATCTGCAAAGACAGTATTTCCAAATAATATCACTTTCACAGGCACCAGTAGTTAGGACTTGAACATTTCTTTGGAGGACCATAGTTGAATGCACAACAGTGGGTAATAAAGGAGATAGACTATAAAAACATAATGTGAGTGTCTAAACCGAGTGGAACAGTAATATCAAATAATATAAGTTGTGAAAGGGAACTGGTTTGAGGGAGAAGATGACATTAACCTTAAGTAATGATTTTGAAGCAATCATGAAAAATTCAAGTGAAGATAATAATTAAAGAAGTAGATTAATTGCTTGAAGTGGAGTGGGATATTTTTTCTTTTGTAAAGCATAAGAAATAGGCAAATGGGTGTATAGACAAGAAGCCAGGGAAAGCATAGTCAAGTGAATTGGGGGTATAATTGAATAGTCTTTTGCAACTTGTATCGTAAAATATGCAAACGCCTAAGACATTCTATATGTTGCTCTGACGATATATTTTTACCATTTTTAGATTTCATGATCCTTTGGCTGCATGGAGAAAATGGGACAGGGCCTGCTAAGTTCAACATACCTCACAGTGTTACAGTTGATTCAGCTGGTCGGGTAAAAATACAGTGTCATCATTTCTGAGACTGTCTGAATGTGTGTGTGTGTGAGTCTGTGTGTGCCCGGGCATGTTTATATAGATCTTAGTGTGCATGTGTGTCTGGACACGTGTGTGTGTGTTAGTGGGTATGTCTGGGCAATTGCTCTGGGGCTGGGTGTGCACACATGCTCACATACTCTCTTGTCAATGTTTGAGTTTCATAGTGAGGAGATTTCTCAAGTGAAAGTTGTACTCCTGCTCGGAAAACTCTACAAAAAGCATTTGAATATATTTTCAATTCTTGAGAAAAAAAAATGGGTTGATCAAAAGTGGGGGTGGGGGGCGCAGGAGAGATTAATCTTGTAAGGTTGAAAAAGAAAGCCACCTAGTAGGCAAACTCTTGCTCTCACTAACTCTACTCTGTTAAGGGAACAGAAAGCTTTGACCAACAAATTTTAATCAATTTCTCTTTCCCCTCCCCATCCACTACCACCACCTCTATTGCTTTTACTCACGTAAGCATAGATATCACTTCTTTGGGGTTACCTTCCTACAACTAAACCCCCACCAAAAAATTTTCAGTTTCTCCTGTTTTCCTATTATAGCTTGTACTTGCCCATTATAGTGACTATCATGCTCTATTATATTCATTTATTTGTCTCCCTTAATAGACTGTAGGCTGTACGAGGGCCCATACTGAATGTCTTTTACTTTATGTCTTAGTGCCTAGTACATAGTAGTCATCTTGTATGTATTTATTAAATGATTAAATGTCTTGACACGCAATGGATGCATCAGGCTACTTGCCTTTATGCCATTAGACATTTAATCCATTTCCACTTCTGATTCTGTGCTCGGCAAGCAAACTTCTAATTATAATTTGGCTTCCTATGTTGACAAAGTGAGAGTGTTTTGATCATTAAATCTTCCTACCATTAGAAGTTACCTGACCATGGGAACTTTGTATGTAAATTAGGAACTAGAACGTTGGAGTTATGGTTTTACACATCACCCTACTGAGCTTGATTAATTGATCCTATTTTGTGCTAAGAAAAAGGTCAAGTTTCAGACCATGCAAGACCTACACCCAGGTGAATTCTTCATAGTGAGGAACACCCTTCTAAGAGGCCTTGGAAATCATTTAATGGGAGTACTGTGACATTACGAAGTGATAAAGAAGGAGTGTCGATTTCTACATACTTAAGTTTTTATAACAACAGCAGTGCTGTTCTGAGCATTTTATATGATGAACACATTTAATCATCACCATAACCCTATATGAAAAGTTAATTAGTTCCAGAGTTAAAGACTTGTTTCTATAAACAGAAAAGCCCAAACTCTGTGAAATAATTTAAAGAGATTTATTCTGAGCCAATATGAGTGAGTACAGCCCCAAGGAGACACAATCTCAAGAATTCCTGAGGAAGTGTGCCCAAGGTGGTTGGGTTACAGTTTAGCTTTATACATTTCAGGGAGACAGGAATTGCAGGTACAATCATAAATCAAGTCATGGTTCAGCCCAAAAAGGTGGGATATCTTGAAGTGGGGGCTTACAAATCATAGGTGGATTTAGAGATTCCTTAATTGGCAATTGGTGGAGAGTATTAAGCTTTATCTAAAAATTTGGAGTTAGTGGGAAGGGTTGCTTAAGTTAAGAGTGTCTGTTATCTTTCATGTGATACCATGCTATTAAAAAAAAACTGTAACTGTTTAACTAGATTTTATAGATTATAAGGTGTGACTTAACCCTTGCCTGGCCGTGCTTCAGGTCTTGTTTATAAATAGGTGTCTTACTGCCACAAAGTCTGTTTTGTCAGTCTTGTGAACTCTATTTTAACATCAATGCTGGCCAATTGTTGTGTCTAAACTCCACAAGAAGGAGATATAAAGAGGCATGTCCAACCTTCCTTTCTGTCATGGCCAGGAACATAGTTTTTTAGGATTTTTCTGGGATCCCCTTGGCTGAGAGGAGGTCTGTTTAGTCGATGGGGGGCGCTTAGGATTTTATTTTTACTTGGCATTTCTTAAACAGGATTTCCCATAATCAAAATTCACTGAATGTTGAGTAGGAGAGATAATGCTGACTGTCTGAAGTATCATTCAATCCTAGGGTGTAAACTGTATTTCCACCTTGGTCATTTGTCTGAGACACTATCCCAAAATCTTTAAGGAAACCTATCCTTCATAAAGAATTATAAATCTAGAAAAGACCTTGAGAATTTACCTTACTTAGACATCCACAACCTTTCTAAGGATAGTATAATGAGTCTTTGTGTCTGATTGGGGATGAATTCAATGGCCATTAAAATTTATACACATTGACAAAGATACAGTGAGGTTTACCCTAAAAAAAACAGTCGTTGACTCCACAAACCCACAAAATCCAAAGGACCTGAAAGGGGCAGGTGGAGGTCAGCAGGGTTGGCCTTTCCCCCAGTCCATTCCTTTGTTCCTCTCTACAACCTTGGCCACACGTCATCAAAACCCTTTGTGTATGCCATAAATTGTGAGCATATGATTTATGCTATGTCTTTAAGAATGCATCTGACTTCCTGTTTTATAGCAACAGTTGCTTAATGACTCATTACAGCCTGTTACAAACCTAAATTAAACCTACTGTCATTCTTTATATGTTACTAAAATATCCCAAGCTTCCTCTCTAAGTGGTCCAGCACTTTCAAGGTACCTTGGTAATAGCAGGTGTAGGTTTAATGATATTGCAGTATGAATGAATACCCCTCTTACTGCTATCCTGAGCTCCTGAGAAGTAAGGCTGCTTTTCTTTGTCTTCCCTGGAACTGACAAGCTGGCAGTACTCAGTGAAAGTGAATGCTCATTAGAGGAATGAATGAATGTTGTCACTTTTCATTATCTGCTAATCTTCTGCCTTATGGTGGAGTACTCCAGTTTTTTAGTTATTCACGTGTTTAGTACTGTAAACAGCATTATAGGCTTTGGGTTAAGACAGATTGTTCCTGTCCCACTTGTAAGCTTATTTCAGACAAGGCATTTATCCTTTCTGAACTTTAGTTTTTCCTCATCTGGAAATGGAGTTTATAATACCTTCTTCTTTGGGACCCTATAAATATTAAGAATTCTTTTTCTCTTCTTCTAAGTATTAAAATAATGTATATGAAACTAATGAAAATAAGCATTTATTCTCTCCTTTTTTCTTTCTTTTCATGTTCTGGATCTTTTCCAATTGACATTTTTTCGGTTTTTCAGGTGTGGGTTGCTGACCGAGGAAATAAAAGAATCCAAGTATTTGATAAAGACACTGGAGAGTGGTTAGGAGCATGGAATAATTGTTTCACGGAGGAGGGACCTTCTGCGGTCAGGTTGCTGTTTCTTTTTATTTTAAAATGCTTGTTTTAGTCCGTTTATTTTGCTTACTTCCTCTGAATGGCTAGCTGAAGGTTTACAATATTATTGTTAATTTTAAATCAGGGAAAATGGAAGGAAAAAGTGTACAGAGAAATTTGATATCTGAGCTTTCCAAATGCCAAACAAAGTGAAAACAGTAAACTCCAGTGCCCTGTAGAATCCCAGTTAATACGTGCTGGACTTCTCCTACAGCCTTTACCTTGTGGTACATTTAGTAAATTTTTAAACACAGGGCAAAATTCAGATCCAACCTAATACCAATTCTCCATTAGTTTCATGGACTCTGATCTTGATACTTTTTAAAAATTTAAGATAATCTTTCGTTATGTCTACAATCACGCATGGCTTATCCCTGATAAACAGAGCAAGTTTAAATTCTCCTTAAAACAATCATGCAGCAAGTAGATGCCTACTGTTGTTTAGCACTGTAGGAGATAAAAATGTTGAAAAAAATAAACATTTATGTTTATTTCACATAAATTTATTGTGTTAAATGTCTTTCTCCTTAGGTTTACTCCTGATGGGCAGTACTTGATTGTGGCCCAGCTGAATCTGAGCAGGCTCTCAATTTTAGCAGCACCGCCAGTGGGAAGCATCGGTGACTGTTCTGTGATCAGCACTATCCAACTAGCAGACGAAGTTTTGCCGCATCTCTTAGAAGTTGATAGAAAGACTGGAGCAATCTATGTAGCAGAAATAGGAGCAAAACAAGTACAAAAATATGCCCCTTTAAATAGCTATGTTTCTTCATTTGGTTCATAATGTTTTTTTCCTGGAAGTATTTTAGGCAATTCAGATTGTCAGATTCATTAAGTACTTAAAAATGATGTTGAAGCACAAGAATTGATTTGTCTTTACCTGATGTAATATCAGAAAGATTTGTTTTTATATCATTAAGAATCATGTATTTTGTTGCCATTCTTGGGACTTAGTTTTACATATAAGTGCAGATGGATATTTTAATGAAGAAATGTAACTTTTAAAAATGGGGTTGAAAAGAGGGACAAAATTTTTAATCTCCTTGTTTCCCCTGGTAGACTAATTCCCTGTGGGTAAAAAAATGGGAATACAAACGGGTTTGTAGGATTATATATTGAATTTCATGTGACATGCAACCTCCAGTTTGTTCAACTTACATAAAGTGAACTGCTCGAGAGATTATGAGTAAGATGAGCTGTGGATTAATTTGAGTACCCACAGAGTGTTAGGCCCTGAAGATTCAAAACTGAGGAAGCAGAGTTGTCTGCCTTTTGAGTAGCTTACAGTCCAGCTGGGAGACAGGTGAGCAAACAGTGGCGACACAGCGACAGCAGCGTGGGAGCATAGTGGTGCTTTCGGAAGGAGCACCAGTGTGACCGAGGGGTTCGTGGAGACTTGGAGGGGAAGTCAATTTGAGCTGGAACCGGAGAGCTGAGGATGAGCCGCCAGGGCATGAGGAGGAGAAAACAACATGGTCTGAGTAGAGAAGGTATAAAAAATGATAAATTTGCTGTAAGCTTTGGTAGGCTTTTAGGCTTCTTTTTAAAAGTTCAACTTTTAAAAGTTCAGCTTTTGTCCTTTAGCTGTAAGATACTTAATGTCAGCCTTTAAATGTAGGGATAAAATGGCTGGCGTCTAAGCACTTTACTTACTGAAAGAGGTTTTTACAAATAACTAGAGTGTTTTTTAAAGGTGGAATTAAGAAGGGAAAAGGGGCCTCTCCTCAGTGCTTCCTTCTTTTTTCCTTTTTCCTTTTTCGTTTTCTTCTTTTAAACATGATCTCAGTTCATTCCTGACATTTGTCTACCTCACAGAAGTTTCAGGAGAATTAATTAAATGGGGATGTGCCAAACACTTTGAGTTATTAAGATGAATAATTTCCTGCCTTTCTACTTCTGTGTCTCATTTTCCCCCTTTGGTCTGAATATTGGCTTCCCAACTAAGATCATTTTTTCTGTTTGTTTTAGTTTATTCTAGGTTTTGGTGGAACACTGCCATATTATGAATCGTTCTTCCCCCTTCCTCACATCAGCTTCCCTCTATATCCGTGTTTTACTGTAAGTTCCCTAACATATGACAAATCTAGAGCCGACTTTGCTCATCACCCGTTATGGCTGGAGTCTTTTCCATACCTAAAGGAACTTGCACTCTTTTTGATGCTTGGATCATATTGTAATGTGGTTAGGAAGGTAAATCTACCAGCAGGAAACCCTATCTTGTGTCTAAGGTCATTGATAAGTGTGTTTGTGCCACTGATCAAACTCTATGACGCTGAACAAGTCACCTTAGTATTCTCTTCGGTAAGATGGGAACATCATTGTCTTTCCTCCTTCACAAATGCTGTGAGGATCAGATGTGCAGCACGTACAGACATGCCATTTGAAGTCTATAGCTCTGGGCGAGTTAGAGGCATTTTATTAACAAACGTCCTTCTAAATGTGCTACTTACCTGATACCAGCTACCAGGTTTGCCTTAATTTTGTGTTTATAGCTTTTATCAAAACATATCCTGATGAACTTTATGTAGTTTAGTTAATATGGTCAATCGATTAGGATGAAAGAAAATGATTTTAGGGTTGGTGTGTTTTTTTTAAGCCAGGACAAGAAGTACAAATGTCACTTTGAAGGAATTTAGGTTAGGTAAACGGATTTTGTCATTTCTAAAATGTTTTTTCTAACTTTGTTTTATACTGGATTCTTATAAAACTTGCCAAAAATATTGTTTCTGTGGTATCTTGCTGAAAGTGTTTATTTTATTACATTCTTGTAATCATAGTATTTCACTTTTTTCTTTAGATTAATTGGTTAAATGAAGGATAAATGTGTTTTCTACTAAAAAAATACAAATTAAAATTTCGTAAAGAAAAGACAATATTATCTGGCTCTCCAATTAAAATTTGATTTTATGGTCATAAAAATAGTTTAAAATTTTTATTCCATTAAAGAACTACAGCAATCATGAAATCACAGGTTGGTGCTTGAAGGATATCCCCTTTTCATACACATGTAGGGTATGAGCTGATGTGCCGTAAGTACTGCTTGAAATTGCTTGGAAGGCTTAAAGAATGTGTTTTCTTTTGAGGTGGTGAGTGAGCACAACTGACAGTAATAACTACCTAATTGTCGATATCACTGCATTAGAAGGGGAACCTCTTTATGCCTCTACTTTCTAGGTCTGTTCTTGGGGAGGGGAGTGTTCCATTATATATTAGAAAATGAAAGGGGTAGCAGTTATCTTTCCTTACCTTCACAATCAGATTGGGTCTTTAAGATAGAACATTTGTCAATCAGAGAAAACTTGAATGTACTCTGACGGCAAACAAAGATTTACCACAAAATATTAATCATAATTTGTGCTTAGGTCACTTAACAGATTAAAAGACTGCTTCAAGCAATGTGCCTGTAAGACTAAGACAATTAAGTTCTAACTTTTGTTTTGCCTTTGCTGGTTTTAAACATTTTTGGATTTGAAAGCAGGATAGATTGGGCACCTAACAGTAAAACTGGGAACTCTCAGATTTTTGCTTTTTAGGCTCATCAAAATAAATGAGGACTGTAAGAAAAGTGTCCTAAATTTATATTACTTTAAATTGTTTTAGTCACTGCTATATATTTTCAGCAATAATCAAGTACAAATTTTAAGTCAGAGTAATCAGCTTTATTCATTCAACAAAAAGTTATGAGACAATAAACGTGTAAAGGCACTTAAACAAGTGTCCTTTGCCCCACTAGTTCCCTACCTACTTGGGAAAGCAAGCTACTTAAACCATTGCATTTCAGTACTTTCTAGGGATGCCTTGTTTTGGCACTTGTGTTACATTCTTGATACAAAAGAGGGCAGCAGAGTCCTGCTTTTGATAAGCATCTCTTGAAATCCAATGTGGGCAAATGTTGATCTTCTTTATACTTTGGGTTTTTTAAATTGAAGCTATGGTGTTAACCATACTTTTAGTTTTTCCTCTTTTTCTGCAGCTTGCTTACATCTTGAAGAAATTGGTTTATAGGTGACACATTTTCCAAGGGTTGTTGGAAATTTTTAACTGCTTAATTGAACTTTTCTACATTTACAAAGAAGAGTTTAAACCTTTTCAATAATTCAAACCCACAGCCAGAAGTGAATTAACTCATTTTAAACAAAGGTGAAATTATAATCTGAATATGTGAGTTTAGTACAATAAAAAATATATTTGAATTAGGGAGTTATTCTTTTTTTCTCCCTACTAGGTTTTTTCTTAAAAAAACAATTTTGCCCTATTGATTGCTGACAAATCACAAAATTGAGTTACTTACAAAAAGGCTAAGTCATTTCTCCACCAGAGAGTTATGTAGAGAATCCGTGAGTTTATAGAGTAAATTAATCCTCTAAATACTAAATGACATGTAGATACTCCTTTTGTATGTAAGAACTCAATAGAATTTGAGTGATGAAAAATAACATTTCTTGAAACTTTTGTCTTTCCATTGTAAACAATGAAATAATATTATGATTTAATTCTACTTTGATGTAATTCATAAATAAAAGGTACATTATAACATATGAAACAAGCATCCTAAGGTAGATTTGAGTCTTTTGAATAAAATCTTTGAAAAGGTGGATTAATCTGCATGTGTCACAAGTTGATACGATAAACTTGCTTTAGCCACTTTACCACTTCATTCCCAAGGAGGAAAATTGTATTAATAGTAGCATGGTCCAAATTCTCAGATTTGTTCTTAACCAGAATTGGTTAGTATAATATGTGTTATGAAAATTGTTTTTACTACAGGACATTTATATACAAGTTGTCACAATCACCGAAGTTAAATGGTTTTCTAAGATTTTTCTTCACAGAGTATGTAAAGGATTATTTAAATGTTTTGATGCTTAACTCTATTAAACTGAAATACTCATTTTTACTTAACTAAAGGAATTTAGGAACTAATCATATATATGTTTTTAATCAACATCAATTTTTAAAAATGTATTTGGTATTTTTTGTGGTATATAGTGACAATGTGTATGTATGCAGCGTGTGTGCATGCGTGTAGGCATTATGCCCAGTGAGGGTCAGGACTGCAGGATCAAAACAATTAGTTAAAACTTAACATGGCTAAATGTAAGTCCTACATGCACTTTCAAAAACTGGTGGAAGGAAACATGATTTGGCCAGGTTATTTGAAAAAGATTTGGGAAATTTGTTGGCCAAAAGTATCACAAGCCTTGTTAAGAAAAAGCTTGTTGCAATCTTAGGCAACATTGATGTAAATATAATGGCGATTTCATAGACAGGATAGTCTCCGCACCTGATAAACAGACCTGTAGTGTTGAGTTTCCTTTTGCATGCTACATTTTAAGATAGAATCCCCCAAACTGTTTAACTGAAAAGCAGGTGACTAAAACAACACAGTGTTTGAAATAATTCTGGAGCCTTCAGAGGGTGACCAGGAAGTGATCAGACTTACTGAGCTTTCTTGCAGAACGAAGACAGTGAGTAGAAATAACAGAGTGGCCAATTTGCCCAGCCCAACAGAACCTTCCTTTAGCAGTAGAATGGGCTGTGTTAGTGCTGGCAGTGGTAAAGCTCTGTGATTCATAGCTTGGAATCCAGAGTTAGGCCCTGCCACTAACTTGGATTGCTTTGAGCTACTCTGCCTCATTTTTTTTTTTTCCTATTTGTGAAATGGAAATACTAGTATTTTCCTCATGGGATTATTGTGAATAAAAACATTGTGCTTGTGGAGCTTAATTTAAGCCCAGTCTCTGACACACAGTAAGCACTCAACAAACCTTAAGAGATTTACTGGTGGTATTTAAGCCAAACATGTGCAGCCATGTCACCTTTGGGCAGTGTCATGGATTAGAAGAATGGTGAGATCCGATGACCTTCCCTAGTCTTTAATTCAGTGTTTAGTCACAGTATTGAAAACTAGAGGTATGGTTGTAATGTAAAGCATCATTTAGAAATGCCATTTTAGAAAACACAGATATTTTTAGTTGGTATTAGCACTATTCATTCAATAGATTAAGTACATTTCAGGTATCAGGAATACAGTGGTGAACAAGGTGAAGACTGTTCTTTCCTGGAATTTACATTCTAGTTGAAGAGACAGAGCAATTAGAGAGGAAAAATGGGATTTTGATTAGAATTT